TCAGTCTCAGTCAGTGCAGAGACTAATATCACGTCATCTATGTAAAATGTGTTGACTTTCAGATATCTTGTGTCCATTATTTCTGGAACACAGCTTGCTGTTTAGTACAATAGAAGAGCGAAAATTCCAGTCTGCCAAAACCCCAACAAAATTAACACAAACAGCAGTGCTTTTAAGATTAAATACAGCTTCAAGGGCCACACAAGGTACTGCTAGTAATCAAATTTAAAAGGAATAGGGAAATTTTAAAAGGAACCCAAACTACTCTACAGAAAACAATCCCTGGCTAAGATGAAGTTAAACCTTGCAGGGAAAGGAAAGAGGAAGCCAAGAATTTTAAACAAATATGAAAAACAATTTTTTTTCAAGGAAGAAGAATGACAAAATAAAATGCTAAAGAGCAACTCACACTTAGAAGAGGATTATTTGGATAGGCTGTGCCCCTCAATCTGTCCCTGTTAAAACTGCTGGCTGACCACCACCACAGAAAGAATTAAGGTACTGCAGCTAAACAATGCTAAGATAATCAAGGAGCAGTGTAGATAAAAAGGAATTTCTGCAGGAACAGAAGAATCGTAACCTTGGAGTAGATCAGGCATGCAAGTCATTTACATTATTCTGAATCAGTCTAACAGTGGGAATACTACTTTGTTGTGCACTGAACAGATATAAAGTTTACCACCAGTTCATATCCCTTATACCTGAGGTGCTAGTGGATCAAATTAGTAACAGTAAATTGAGAGCGGTATCCAATACATCTTTGTTTCTTAAGACGTTCAGAATGCTCCAAAAAGTCTGCTTACGGACTCTTTTTGTTGGGGATAATGTATGCATGCCAGGAATATATAGAAAATAAATAAAATAAAGAGACAGCATCCCTACCTTACCACCAAGCTTCCTATGGTATCTGAACAGACTCAAACTAATCAGAGGAACACACATGCAAAAAATGGCTGATCCTTTCACTTTTAAAAAAAGAAAAGATTTATTAATGAGTTTTTAAACTCAGCTTACCACTTTTATACAAGACTCATTTGCCACAAAATTCCCCAAACCAGGCTATCAAAAGGATGCAGACACTATTTTGCGATAATAGACCAGAAAGGCTACCACAAATTGAGTTCTATAAAACTCTTTTATATCTGCTTATGCATACATATCATGTATTTTCTGTTTCTTTCTGAATTTTTTGAGCAGCAATATTTGCAAGTTATTTGCTCTTTAGGAATCCGTTTGTTCTGGTTTGTTAGTCCTCACCTGAAGCCATAATGGCATTGTGACATTATGAATATTTCTATAGTAACCAATGGAGATGTCAGAAAATTATAACTTAAAGCAATACACTGCAAGGTGTGGATGAGTTGTCATGTTGTCATTCCAGATTTCTAGTAATAAAAACAGGACATTGAAAAACATTTTAGTTGGACAATATGAACTTTTCAGGAGCTAAGTGGCTCTTTATAATTCTATGTGATCAATGTTCAAAATACATATTTTGGTACAAGTCTTACATGCTAAAACATCCTCGTCCTTTTGAAAGGTATTTTGTAGAGGCCTTGCACCACCAGAGGCCACGGGAGGAGAGAAAAGCGCACAGGCGATTTAGCTGCATGGGGGTGAGGAACCCTGCAGAGAGGTAGTTACCTCTCATCATTAGGAGAGCCCAAAGGGAAAGGTTCAGAGAAGGAAGAGAATAGCATGGCTGAGGAGCAGGAGAAGTGGTTACCGATGCTGATGCAAACACTTCCTAAAAAGATAGTGGGGAAGTTTGGCTATCTGTGACATATGATACCCCAGAGGTGTACAAAGGGGGAGGAAAAAACAAAACAAAACACCACAAACCTCAGAAAGAAAAGTCACTTCACTACACAGACTCATGGCACTCACTTTCTCCACCCTCCTTCCTTTCCGAGAAAAGAAAGGGACACCACACCGATCTACTTTCCCCCAACAAAGGCAGTGGTTCTCTGGGGCTACCATAATTCCCCAGTCCTCTATTGGTAGGTACAAAACTGCTAGCAGATGCCACAAACCCTCCAAATGGCCCTCAATCATCTCCCTTTCAATGCCCCTCATTCCAGCACACCAACACTGCTTTCTTTAACAGCAACAACAAAACAACAAGATACTGACCACCAAAAACGCTAGCACAGAGTTAGGTTACCTAACACGGTCTTGTACCCTTCCAGAATGTGTAGAGTGGCTACACTTAAACCTCTGAAATACAGAGTTAAGATAATGCCTGCTACACTACGCTCCCATAGTACTACCTTAACTCTGCCCCTGAGGGGATGACAAAGGATACTTAATATAGATGAGTTTTCTGTGCCCATCACAACTCCACTTCATTACTCTTAATTAGAGAGCAACACCTCCCATTACCTCTCACTAGGCTAGGATTTCCAGTATTGATTCAGGGAGTACTTGCAGCTGGTTAGCATAGCACTTACTGTCACCTCCACTGGTCACAACATCCACTAGCCATGTCAAAAGGAACAAGCAACATAATAATGGGGTGAACTATTCTAATAATCCCCTGTACAGTTTCTGTGCCCAGTAGAATGCCTTATCTGCACTGGCATTCACATATTGCCATACATCCTCCCTATCTTCTGTTCTCCACCATTGATCCTAGGAATACTAGAAATGTTAGCACACACCACTCTGCACCACAAAGTTTACTGAGGTAAGAGGATGGCCCTGAGGCATTCCTTAAGGCAAGGATGAATGAGTTTTAACAATTTATGCACTCTAAAGAGTTTTCCCCATCGATCTTCACATCCTTGATAAGGGTACTGTCCTGGGATCTTTCATATACTCCCTGACATTGTTCAAAGGAGCCAGAGTTGAGATTGCCTGTGAAGAATTACCTTATCTCTGTATTTCCTGTCTTTCAGAGGTTTAAGTTTAGTACCCTTCGCACTCTGGAAGGGCACCAGGCAACCCTAGAAGCAACCTTAACTTTGCATTAGTTTTTTTGGCAGCGGAGTTTAATTGATCTACAGTTTTGTTGACTATACTCCGCTTACAACTGAAAGATATCAGTTAGCTTTTATTCGTCATAGAGAGTCCATATCCAAGATTATTTTAGTTGTAAATGTAAACCATTCATAAGAATTAATTATTGCAAAATGTGTGTGGATTAACACAAAAATATACCCCATGCTCATAAAGAAGCTTATATAGTGAAAACATGCAGACTGGCATCGATAGGCAAGAATCTCATCTTGTACTACTTGGAAATAAATCTTTTGGAAGTCTTGCCATTTTTGTGGCAATAAAGTTGTTTTAATTTCAGTCATGTACCAGAACAATTACATGTTCTGAAAGTCTAGAGACTAATAATTTTAACTAGAGGATAAATACCCCAAAATGCAGAGAATGATCTACTATGGAGGAACCAAAATGAGAATCTATGAATTATACTAATGTTAAGAACTTGATGAAAATAAATTTGTATAAGTGATGGGAAACTACTCGCAAAGTAGGCAGCACTGAAGATTTTTCAAGAGACTAAGAATAAAATTTCAACACTCACAAAGTGAGAACTCCTTCTCATCACAGGATTGATCACTGTCAGCATTGCTTGTCTGCAATCCACATTATTTCCACAGAAATTATAACCTTAAATCAGAGAGGCACAGTAGTACTCCAAGGTATCTTAGCAATGACAATGTGTCATTATTAATCTGTATTTGTGCAGTATAGCTTCTCAGAAGAAATACTTAATATACAATTATATACACAAACATATCTTAGATTCAATACCCTTGCATCTGATTTGTAGCCAGACACTCAACAAAAATGTTGAAGTATCATTTACTTTGAAATTCTACTTTGTTACAAACTCTCACCTGATCGACTTCCAACCCCCAATATTCCTTTACTGCTTATGATTTCTTTAAGAAAACTATTATGTACTAACTGCCCCTTCTAAAATTCCCAAGCTCTTTTTTGTTGACCGCACACTCTCTCTAAAGTATTTTCAGGGAGAAAAGCAACGGAGTGCATGGGCTAAGAACACTGAAGTAGCTTGGACTCCTGTCTTATATTATACAGTACTAAACAATCATAGGCTCCCAAACAGGGGGAAAGGAAAGGAGTGTCTGTATTTTATGTTTTTTAGTAGGTGACAGGTGTAATAGTAACAAACCCTAAGTTTACCACCAATCAATAAATGATCCAAACCCTTACTTCAGCTGGGCTTTGTTTCAATCAGAGGTGATGCTCTTTTTGTAGAAACAGACCAAAACCGCTGGAGGAATTGGCATAGAAGTGTTCCCACCACTAGAGAAGGATCAACATCTAATTCTCTTAGACCTTGCCTTCACTAGCAAACTTCATAGCTGGAATTCACCAGATTTTACTCCATAAAGCAAGCCTATGAAAGACAACAACTCACCAAAGTGAAATTCCCAGAAGAATGATTTCAAAAACTCTAAATGAGGATAATGGAAAACATCACTAAATATCTTAATCCTGGCGTTTAAGACAAGATGGAGTATTGCACTTACACAAACAATGAGAACAGTAATGAACTACCCCATTCCCATGACAAAGTAGTCTACATCTAAGTATATTCAAGTGAGTCAAGATTCATGTTTGGGATAGGGTGGGGAAGAAGGGGACTTGTTGGAACGAGCTTTGGAAACGCCAACCCCCATTATGTTAATAACATAGTAGCCTGAATTTAGAACCAAAAAGCAGACCAGGATGGATGAACTGGCTTTGATCAGTGGTGCTCATTTCTGTATTTAAGCACCTGTTGCAGTAGGAGAATTCTGTTGCTAAAAGACTCTGGAAACTAGGAATACCTTAAACATTTAACTAAATAGTGTGGATAAATCTGCCACAACGGGGCTTAGTAAATTTCATCCCCAATAATAGCGTAACAGTGCTTAGTCTACACAAGCCTATTGCATAAAAACAGCGGCTTTGGAAACTTCATTTTAGATAGAACAGTAGGTCTGCGATCGATCTCAGTACACCTCAGTACTTACCGCAGGAGCCAATAGCCAACCGATCCCCCCTTATTTTTAGGAAGAGGAGGGTTGGATTTTGCCAAGCACAGGAGGAACCTGAGCTCCTTCTCTCGGACGCAGCATCCAATGCTCTGCCTCAGCGCAACGCCTCGGTCCCACCCTGCGGCCAGGTACCCTTCACCACCCCCGAGAGCAGGGAGAGGGATGGAAACGCGGATATATTCACTGGCTTCCCACAGACACGCCCCAGCGGGTGCAGGACGGGGGCATACGCGGCACGGGCTGCTGCTGCTGCTTGCCCGGGCTGCACAGTGAGGGGCCAGGCAGCCCCAGGCGCTACCCCTCAGACCCGGCTAGCGGCTGTAAACACGCCGCGGGAGCCGCTTTGTTGCCTTCTCAAGGCAGCGCACGTGGAGAGGCGGCGCCCGCAGCGCGTGCTGCCCTGGGGAGAACGCTGCAGCCGCGCCCACCCCGGCCGCTACCCTAGGATTGGCCAGCGCGGGTGGGGAGTGGGCGGTGCCCGCTCCCGGTTGGCGGCAGGGTGTGTCACTCCGGTGCTGCTTGTCGCGGAACGCCGGGCGGTGCAGGCGAGTTGGGGGGTTAGCGGCGCTGAGAGTGAGTGCGGGCAGCTGCAGGGGTTCCTGTCCCGCTGCGCTCGCTGAGGCGGGGCCCCGGGGAACGCTGCACGTGCAAAGTGTGGGCACGCTGTAGCCCCCGGCTCACCTGGGCCGTGCACAGCACCCCCGCATCCCTCGCAGCAGCCCTTCTTCACAGTCTCTGCCCCAGCAGCCCCGTGCCTCCGTCCTCCTGCCAAGCCCTTAGCAGAGTATCCTCCGCCCTGCCCCGGGTTAACCCCCTCCCCCCGCTTAGCACCTCCTGGCAGCCCATTAAACCTGGCTCCCCTTCCCAACCTCAGCAGCTCCCTCTTTCTTCAGGGTGTGAGGCATTAGGATGACCAGACATACTGATGTTCTTGGGACTGCCTGATATTAGGGGATTTGTCTTGCATATGCAACTATGCCCCCGGGGGGGGGGGGGCAGGCGGAAGTGTCCTGGTTTTTCACACTTGCTCTCTGGTCACGTTATGTGGCACACACAGTCAGATGGACTATCTATGGGATAGGGTTGACTTTCAGCACTGAGTGCAAACTGGAATGGGGGTACGGATGGAGGTGGTGTAGAGAAGGCCCAGTGACAATAGAGGAGTGAGTCTCCTGAAAGGGATGTGGGCCAAAGATAAGACACAGTTGGTGGGGGATGGGGAATATTTGTCTAACTTCTAGATTTTGGAGAATTTCTCAAGATTGTCTCAAAAATCTCCAGCATTTTAGCAGTGGGTGGAAAGGATGCAAAGCTCAAAGAAGAACATACTGGATTCAAACCTGAGAAATCCTGTGTAGATCAGGTATTCACACTAAGGACCATCATAATGTATAGAATAGCAAGCATGGGCAGCAGGTGGCATAGGCTGGGGGAGGCTGTGCCTCCCCAAACAGCCAGGCTTGGCCCCACCCCCTGCTTACCACTGCTCCCTGCGTGTGGCTCCAGTCCTCCAGCGCTCTGGCTGGGGCTGGGACTGCGTGCCTCCCGGCCCTGTGGGGGCTGGAATCGTGGGCTGCCCGCCCTCCCAGCGCTGCGGGGCCTGGGGCTGTGGGCTGCCTGCCCTCCCGGCGCTCTGGGGGGCTGTGGCTCCCCCACGCTCCAGAGCTAGGGCTGTACGTGAGGTGGTTGTGGCCGCATGCTGCCCGCCCTCCCGGCGCTCTGGGCTGAGGAGGCTGGGGCCGCGCGCTGCCTGCCCTCCTAGCGCTCCTTTGGGCCTGGGGGGTTAGCCTGGGGCTGGACTGGGCCATTGGCCGCAGCTGGGGGGTGGGGGGGCTCTGGGCTCCAGTAGGGAGGGCGGAAGGGGCAGTGCTAGGGGCTAGTCTCCCCCAGCCAGCAGTTCACGCGCTGCCCATGATGGCAAGCTCCTCTCATCGTCAAGTACACTGATTTTCAAAATGGATTCGAGAGCCTGTACAGACATACATAGTGGAATATTCTTCAGTCCTACAGAATCTCAGGTAAAGTTGTTAACATCATTAAAGCCATGACAGAGATGTGAATGAAACACTCTGTCAGGGAAACAACCAGAGTGGTTCTATGTGAACACTGGCATGAAACAAGGCTGCATTTTATCTCCAGTGTTGTTTGGCATTGCCATAGACTGGATAATAAAAAAAGTGTATTAGCAACACAAATACTGGTGTAGCAAGGGTAAGTGGCAAATGCTTAGAAGACCTAAACTTTGCTGATGATATTGTGCTACTGAGTAACACCCCAAAAAATCGCAAAGACAGACAACCTGGTGAAAACAGCAGGCCAAGCAGGACTCAGAATTAGTTATGCTAAAACATACATCCATGAAACCCAGACATAAAGCAGTAACATAACTTTAAAGGCAAAAATATCAAGAAAATAGAACAGTTCATCTACCTGGGCAGCACCATATTGACCAATGGACACCTCAAGAAGGAGGAGACATCAAGAACAGGAAAAGCATCCACAGCATTTACTAAACAATATACGGAAATCAAAGATATATGGCACCAGCACAAAACTGAGAATTTTCAATTCAAATGTAATCTTGGTGCTAATATACTGCTGTGAGGGAAGGAAATCTACCAAAAAGTTAGAAAACTATACAGCTTCAGAAATAAATGCCTATGAAAGATTCTGGGCATTGGTTGAAAAGACTTAGTCACCAGTGAAGAGATCTGAGAAATCACCAACCAACAGCTCATTTCCACCGGAATCAGAAGGAAGCACTAGACATATTTGGGGCATGTACTTTGGATGCCAGCACACAGACTCCCACATGAAGCTGTCTAGTGGCAATCAACTGGGGTGAGGAAATGAGGGTGTCCAATAGAAACCTTAAGATTCCGTAGCAAGGAGGGTAGAACAACAGCTGATCTCAACACCATAGAGCAGATGGAAGCAGCAGCAAATGACAGAGAGGAATGGAAGAGACCAGTTTCCATCTTGTGTGCCAATATTGGCATGGGAAGGATGTAATAAAATAAATAAATAGAGGGGGCAGGAACAATGAAGGAGGAGGTGTGTGCGCGTCCAGGTTTTAACTACGGGTTCCAAAATGCTGTTGAATACAGCTTGTCTTTGGTCTTGTCTGCACCAGGGATGCTGGAACAATTTGTATAGTGGAGGTGCTGAGAGCCATTGAACCAAACTGTAAACCCTGGATAAAATGGAATCTACTTCAAATCAGGGGGTGCGGTAGCACCGCCAGCATGCCTAGTTCCAGCACCTATGGTCTGCGCTGGGGATTTTCCCCAATTCCAGCCAAAATTACAGCTTTTCTTATTTATACTTGCGGTATACACCATCACAGCTACACTACTGGCTGGAATCAAGGTAAATCCCAACGTGGACAAGGCCTTTCTGTACTTTTGCAGCTAAACCATATACTGCAGCAGGTCAGCTATACCCATGGCCAACAAGGGGTTATTTTTCTACTGCAGACCAAAGTTATCACTCCAGATTTTCAGTTTACAAGTAAAAGATTTTTTTTTTTTTAAACTATCAGCCTAGCAAACTAAGCCTGACCTCTGAGAGTCATTTTGGGTTTTCTTTCTTTATTGCTAGTACAAAAGTTTATGAGATGATACGTAACAAAGAACAGAATCTAAGGGCTGGTCTACACTGTGGGGGGGGAAATCGATCTAAGATATGCAACTTCAGCTACGAGAATAGCGTAGCTGAAGTCGACGTATCTTAGAACAATTTACCTTGCGTCCTCACGGTGCGGGATCGACGGCCGCGGCTCCCCCGTCGACTCCGCTTCTGCCTCTCGCTCTGGTGGAGTTCCGGAGTCGACGGGGAGCGCGTTCGGGATCGATTTATCGCGTCTAGACAAGATGCGATAAATCGATCCCCGATAGATCGATTACTACCCGCCGATCCGGGTAGTACCCTTCACCGATCCGGCGGGTAGTGAAGACGTACCCTAAGTCACTCTCCTGTAGCAAGGTTGGTCCTGCAATAGTGATAGGGATAAAAAATACTTTAGTCTGCAAAATAAGTAGATATTATTTATACAGTGCCAAATATGTGTGGCCCTTTATTGACACTAGAAGACGTGGTCGCTGCCATGAAGATCTTACAACTTGTGAATCAGATTATCCACAAAACAGTATGTTGAAAAAGGAGGCTATTTTTAGAGCCATTTTATAGTTCCCCCTCCCTCTTTTTTGTATATTTTGCTGTGGTTTGCATTTTAATTTGGTAATAATTACAATATACTATTTACATTATTTCAAATTTTGATATTTGGTGTGACTTCCTCTCTCTCTGCCTTGGAATTTCACAAGTAAATCACTGGTTAAATCATACCAGATACCCATATACCTTGAAAAAGGAGTGTAGTTTAGTGGGTTGATCACAGAATGGAGTAGGCAGAGCCTCCAGAATTCTAACCTCTGGTTCTGATACAGACTCTCTTTGGGCAAATTACTTAAACTTTGTTCCTCTGAGAAATTGGGGCTGACGGTACCTCTGAGGGGTGTTGTAAGGCATAATTACTTAATATATGTACAGTGTTTTATAAGTGCTAAGCATTAGATCTGGAGAAGGTCAGCCCCTCTGTTCAGGAAGGTAGGCTGACACCTTCCTTGATGGAAACACAGATCTCTGTTCAAAAAAGACATCTTTTGACATGCATGGCCTCCCTAAGTATCAACTGGTCTGGGATGTCCCCTTTTCTGGGAAGAGTGGCCAAGTAGGTTGTGGTGAGACAATTCTGCAGTCCTCAAATTTCCTTGACTCTAGCCAATCTTGTTTCATGCCCAGATATGATTTGGAAACTTCACAGCTTGCATTAACTGATAACCTGCTCTTGGTGGTGAATGGAAGTTAGGTGCCCCCTGCTGATTCTTTTAGGTTTATCAGTTTTCATTGATCTTGTTAATCACATGACTTTGATAACATGTTTGCAGTCCTTAGAAGAGGTTTGTGGAGCTGCCTTGATGTGCTGGTTCAGACCGTTTTGTCTAAAATATCCCAAAGGGGGGTGATGGGTGTTTCAGGTGTCCGGAGAGCTTTCTCGTGCACAGTACTGCAGCATTCCATCT